TCTGGAATCCAAATCGGCTGCTCTTCTCCCTGTGGAAACAAACAGAACCCTGACTCCAGACAATCACTGGGTCAGGACCTTTCCATTGTCCTGTTAGAATATCTTTCCAAAGTACCTTAGGCTTATGTACATTTTTTGGACACATATGCCTTTCCACAGCACTAAGCCCTGAAGAATCCAAATTTAAAAAGTAAAAAAGGTTATTTTAAGTTTATCTTTGGGGGATATATACCCCTTTCCAATTCCCTCTTTTTGCTTTAATAAGTATGTTTTAATAGTTTGATGAGCTCTTTCAACTATGCTTTGTCCCTGTGGATTGTATGGAATTCCTATTATATGAGTAATGCCAAATGATGAGCAAAATTGTTTAAAAGAGGTAGAAGTATAACCAGGACCATTATCTGTTTTTAACTGTTTTGGAACACCCACAGTGGCAAAATTTTGTAAGCAATGAGCTATAATATCTTTAGTTTTTTCTCCAGTATGAAGGGAGCCCATCAAAAATCAGGAAGAAGTATCAACTGTAACATGCAAATATTTTAATTTTCCAAATTCTGGCAAGTGTGTGATGTCCATCTGCCAAATGTGGTTAGGTATCAGTCCTCTAGGATTGACTCCAAGATTAACTTGTGGTAAAAAGGTCACACAATTTTGACATTGTTTTATTATTTGTCTAGCTTGTTCCTTAGTTATTTTAAAATGCTTTTGTAAAGTATTAGCATTGACATGAAACCTTTTATGAAAATTTGTAGCTTCTTCTAGTGTAGAGAAAATATGTATGTCATGTGTAGTTTTATCTGCTAAATCATTGCCCAAACTAAGGGCTCCAGGCAATCCTGTATGTGCCCTGATATGTCCTATAAAGAATGGATCTTTTCTGTCCCAGATTAGACTTTGTATAGAAAACAAAGAGAAAACAGTAGAGGAAGGAGAAATCCTACCAGCATCTTCAAGGGATTCTATAGCATTAACTATATACTGATTATCAGAAAATAAATTACAGAATCTTTAAACATCACAAAAGCTTGTAATACTGCATTAAGCTCTACCTTTTGAGCTGATTGTTTGGGTACTAAAAATGTAAAAGTTTTATCAGGGGTAACTACTGCTGCTGTACCATTATTTGACACATCAGTGAATATATTTGGGGCATTCATGATAGGTGTTTTTCTTGTCATTTTTGGAAAAACTACAGGATGCAAAGACCAAAAGGACAATAAAGGATTAGATGGTAAGTGGTTATCAAATGAAACATTAGATTTACACATGATTATTGCCCAAGTATTTAACTCATTAGCTAACTCATCAATTTGATCCATAGTATATGGAGTAATGCTGCAGTCTAGCTGCAGCAAAATAGCCGGGGGGTGACGAACAACTTGTGTACATTGATACAGCAGGAGTGGGAGCCGTTTATTGTAGGACAGGAGGGGTATATATACATTCCACACTGCTTATCTTAATTAACATAAACTAGATACAGCATCAACCAATAAGGAATCTCCACACTTAATGGCTCGCTGGCGTTACTTCACAAACCACTCCCTCTGGCAAAATGCCAGGTGCCATCTTGACTTTCTTAGAGACCCTAACATTGAGAATAATTTTATTGGGAGAAATTCCAAATACTCCCTTTGCTGCTTTTATTCCTTTGAGTATTAATTGTTCTACAGCCTCAGGATACCTAGTAAGAATAGCGTTAGGAGAATAAGATAAATGTATCCACATTAATGGACCTTCTTGCCAAAATACTCCTGTAGGAATATTTTTTGTTGGTATTACAATAAATAATAAAGACAAACTTATATCAATTCTATCCAAATGCATATTTTCCATATATGTTTTAATAATTTTTAATGCCTTTCTTGCTTCAGGAGTTAACCTTCGGGTGAATTTGGATCTGATGGACCTTTTAGGATATCAAATAAAGGTTCTCCTGTTGGTATGCCTAGATAAGGCCTTATCCAATTTATGTCTCCTAATAACTTTTCAAAGTTGTTAAGTGATTTGAGTTGATCTAATTGCATTTGAATTTTTGGTGGATGGACCATGGTTGAGGATAATAGAACTCCTAAATAAATAATTAGAAAATTTAATTGTACTTTATCTATTGCTATCTCTAGATTATAATTTTTTAATAAATTTGTAAGAGTGGCATAACATTCTAGCAATGTGTTTTTATCTTTGTGTGCTAATAATACATCATCCATATAGTGAAATATTTCTAGTTCAGGATTTTGATTTCCAAGTGGCTGGATTGCTTTGTTAATATAAATTTGACACATAGTTGGGCTGTTAGCCATCCCTTGAGAGAGTACTTTCCATTCATATCTCTGATCAGGACCTTCATGATTTAGTGCAGGGATAGTAAATGCAAAACGTGGACTATCCTCAGGATGAATTGGAATTGAAAAAAAACAATCTTTAATATCTATAGCTAAAACATACCAGGTTTTGGCAAAGCAGACAACTGGGGAATCTCCTATTGAGCAGGTCCCATAATAACCATCTCATTATTAATGGCTCTTAAATCTTGCAATAATCTCCATTTACCAGATTTCTTTTTGATGACAAAAATGGGAGTATTATGGGGAGATATGGAAGGTTGTATATGTCCCTCCGCTAATTGTTGTTTGACCAGGTCATGGGCTGCTTGTATCTTTTCTTTAGTCAGGGGCCACTGAGGAACCCATACTGGTCTTTCTGACTTCCAAGAAATTTGTATTGTCTCAGTGACCCCTTCTGAAAACCCAATCCATGTCTATCTATTCCTTGATCTATTTGAATTGGTGCTGCTATACCTTGTTCTTGTTCTCCTAATCTTTTTTCTTTCCTAAAACCTTGTCTAGCCCTAATAGTGGGGTGCATTTGGATTGATGTTATTTGTTAATGTCAAACCTAATTGATCTAAGACATCTCGTCCCCATAAATTTACGGGAAGATGATCCAATACATAGGGCTGTATAGTTCCTTCACATCCTTCAGGATCCTTCCAATCTAATACCATTGCACTTCTATGGGGATTAGTCGCCACTCCTAGGCCTCAAAGTGTTTGAGTGGCTTGTTGTAATGGCCAATGTTTTGGCCATTCTTGACGAGAGATGATGCTAAGGTCTACACCTGTGTCTAGTAGCCCATTAAATTCATATCCTTGAATATTTAGTTTTAGCATTGGGTGAGAGTCTAAATTTAAAGACAGCATAGCCCAATCTATACCTGTGGAGCCCAATCCCCTGGAACCTCTTTCTATACTACTACTGGAAAATGTATCATGCAGGCTGGGTATTATTAATAACTGTGCTATTCTATCTCCTGGTGAAATTACTGATATACCCTTTGGAGAACTAGCTATGATTTTTATTTCACCTTCATAATCGGGATCAATTACCCCAGGACTTATCATAAGTCCTTTTAGTGTAGATGAACTATGTCCTAATAATAAGCCTACTGTTCCTTGGGGAAGAGGTCCTTTTACTCCTGTGGGAATGATTTGAACTCCCATCTCTGGAGTTAGTACTGCTCTGGCAGAGGCACAGATCTCCAACCCTGCGCTCCTTCTGGTTCATCTTATGAGTGATCTGATGGATAATGTGTTGTGGGCACTACCCTGATGGGGTTGCTGGGGTTGCTGGGTTCCTCCAGTGCCCCGTATATTTGTGGTCATGGGCCCGGGAGCATTGGGCCCCCCTGTCTGTTTTTTGGCAATGGAGCCGAATGCCTTTCTCCATGATATCGTGGGTAAACACCTGGTCTTTGTTCATTTTTTGATAACGGAGTACCCTCTATGGTGGTTTGAGAACAGCATTCATTTAGCCCAATGTCTCCGCCTGGTCTCTACTCTGCCCACCAGGCCAACGGCCCAGTCTACCTCAGGACCGAATCCTCTCATTTCCCCAGTGTCACTGTGGTCAACATGCTGTATGTGACATTTATCTGTCATCTTTCCCCTCAGAGTTTTCTCTTTGCTCCACTTCTAGGACATCACTATGTCCGAGCTATCCGAGGTTCGTGGATTCTTCTCCTCCTAGCTCACAGGGTCATCTTTCCCCACGTTAAATGCTGGTGTCCCCCTGCTCCTCTCGAGGGGCTTTCTCCTCCTCCGCTGGCCACTGTTTCTCTCCCATGAACAACTTCACTCTCACGGTCTGGAGTCCCTTTTTAGTTCAGAATGCCTTCCAAGCCTCGGCCTTCCTTGTATGTGTGGCCATGCACATCAAACGGTGATGCTGATGGATACCTCCAGGACTCCTCCGTCCCACAGATCCAGACTGGAGCACGCGTTTCCTCCCCAGCCTTGCCCTTCCTCCTCTGCTCTCCCTAATGTGCGCACCACCCTCGCCCAGGGACTCTGACAGACGCCCAGCCCTCCCTTCTCCATGCTCTGTGAAACCGACCCTCAACTCCACCCGAGGATTCTCTCCTTCCAACGTTATTCTTAGAAGTGCTCTCACCTTCTTTGTTTTTATGAATCATGTTTCCCACTCTAGACACTAAGAAAATAAATGTAAGGGGAGTAAAGAACTCATTTTGGAAGCAATCCCAGTCAAATCAGTAAAGGAGCAGAATAGGAGGGGAGCAGGAACGGTGGCAATGGAGGGTGAGTGGACACACATGTCCCTATCCTGACTTCAGGTCACACCACAGGAGCCAAACGGCCGAGAGAGCCCAGCACCCTTCAGTGGCTCTCTCACTGTGGAGGCAAGAGGGACTCTTTGTCTAGGCTCGGAAACCCACCTGGATGTGGCTTCTGGCGCTGACCCCGACTCCTGCCCAGTCCAGGCCTGGTGTCAGCTCAGACTCAGTAGGCCACTCGCGGCCTCCTCTCCTGTCCAGGCTGCTCGCCCAGGTCCTTGCATCTTTTACAGCACGAAGACAGGACCAGGCCCGGCAGCCTCCTCAGCCACCCTTTTCTGGAAATGTCACCGGTCCTCACTTTTGCTTCCACTTTTGTCTCTGCACCCACTTTTACCTATTTGAGGATTTATTTTATTTTTATTTTATTTATTTATTTTTTGCTATTGTACTTTCCTCAAAAATCAGGTGGGCATATTTGTATGGGCCTATTCCTAGATCCTCTGTTCTTTCCATTGACCTATGTCTGACTATAGTCTTGATTGCTATAGCTATGTAATAAGTTCTGAAGTCAAATAGATCGGTTCCTTCTACTGGGTTCTTATTTTTAAAAAATCATTTTAGCTATCCTAGTTCCTTTACTTTGACTTCACTTTTCCCTATAGATTTTAGAATAATACTGTCAACATCTAAACATCTTGCTGGGATTTTGATGGTGATCAATTTGCCGAGCATTTACATCTTTACTATGTTGAATCTTGCAATCCATGAACATGGCGTATGCTAGTCTCTATTTATTTGAATCTATTTGAGGATTTATATATTTTTTATTTACTTCTCGGTTTCTCCCACTGGACTGTGAGTCTCTCAGGGAAGGATCCAGGGTGGACACATCTTCATCTGTAGCACCCGCACAGGGCCTGCACGTGTGTGCACCAGGACCCTGTGTCTGGGGGCAGGGGGTTGAGAAGTGGAGAAAAGCCTTCAGCTGGGGTTTCCTGTTGACGTTTCAGTGAGTCCTGTGTGTGGCGAAGAGTGGCTCTGTATTAACCGTCCAGGGCAGTTCCCTTCTCTCCTCCATTGGCCGTCTCCGCTGTCTGACTGATGGTGCACCCTTGGCCCAAGCCTGCGTTGAGCTTCCCTGATGGCTTTAGCAGGTTTCCTGGAGGGCCCCCTGGGCAGGTATCAGGAGAGGGACTTCCAGCTCACATCCCTAGGGAAATCAGCGGGCCTATGAAATCCAGCCTCCGAGATGACAAAAATAGGTAGTTTACTTCTTCTGAAAGGATCTCCAAGTACACGTTTGAGTTTACGAGTGGAGCCTGGGAGGTAGAAGAAGTAACAGTGGTTCATTCCAAGGCTGAACATCTCTGGGTAGAGGGTGGGTCTTGATTCAGACCCCTCCCACCAAACCCACTGCCACCCTGCCACCCTCTCCAGCAAACACACCGTAACAGCCCTTCCTCACACACCGAGATGCCCTCCACGCCAGTCCTCAACATGGCACTTGTGGAAATGCAGGCTTTCAGCTGGTGAAAGGCTTGGGCACCGAATCCCCAAATGGCGGCAACCCCTTCGCAATCTCCTACCTCTGCCTCCTCACCAGCCCTGGGCCTCCTGGATCCCTGGATGATTCTCTCATGAATTCTAATTATAGGAGAGGGGATAACAGCCAGCGGGAAGGAGATGTTTTATTTTTATACCTGCTGCCAGTAGATTGCTACTCACATTGCTCTGGGAAAAAAAAAATGTGTTTACAAATGTATCATTATACAGCAGATCTTAAATCGCTGGCTATTAGCTGCTTCTATTGACTACTGTGGGAGCAGAGCCGCTGCCTGGGAAAGGTCAGGTCTTTTCATTTGTGTTTTCTTATGTGATGAATAACAAATAATGAACCACAAAATTTATAGGGCTGTTGAGATTCCTTTCTCCCATCTGCAGAATCGTTACGTTTTATACATTCTTTGCTGACATCAGACAATCGGTTCATATCTATTTCATTTTTTAATCCCCAAAAAGGAGAGATGATTGGGGAAAGTACCGCTCAGAAAAGCAACTGCAAGCAAATTGTCCCACTTGTACAAACCTCCACGTGCTGTTTCATGCCGTTGATCAAAGGCTGAAAGGCTTGGTGGCTCCGCGAGCAGGAGCGCAGGTGGCCCAGCTTCCTAGAGGGGTCTTCCCTCTCACCCCACCTGGCCCCAGCTGGCCTGAGCCCCACGTGCTGCACTTTCTCCACTTGGCAGTTCATGGGCGAAGCAAGGTGCTGACCTCAGCCAGGAGAAGGGAACCCTCCTCCCCAAAGTGTGGCCCTTGACCCTTCACCTCCCTGATCTACAGGAAGCTTTTGGATACCAGGCAGGTTCAGGCCTGAATGGCCTCTGCTGGTACCCATCTCCTGCCAGGCCCCCAGGAGAGTGATCTGGGATTTCACATCAAACCCGCCACCTAAGCACACACCCGTCAGCTCCCACGTGTGTCACAAACACTGACAAGACAGCAGGAAGAAGGTCATAGAGAGGTGGAACAGGACAAGCAGAAAACACAGTCAAACAGTAGAACAATCCATAAAAATGACTTGTTACAAGAAGAAACAGCTGAATACTCCCATCGAGACAGAAATTATGGGATTAGATTTTTACAGTTCTAAAGCTCTGTTCTCTTTATAAATATGCACCTAAAACACAAGGAAGCAGAAAGCATGGAGCAGTAAAGGGATGGAGGCGCGTACTCCAGGCACCCCTTAGGCAAACTCTGGGCACAGACCTTAAGGAATGGGGGCCAACCCCCAAGGGAGGGCCATCTTGTGAGGACAGCAATCCCTGATTCTCAGGGAAAAGAAAACACCTCTGAACAGGGATGTGCTCAGTAGAATATCGAAAACAACTGTGGAAAAACTAGCAAAAGCAGAAAATGCTAGATCCTCTGCTCAGGAGGGGAGTCAGCAGCTCTCTAAAACACACAGGGTGGAAAAAATAAGGTGAAAGCCATGAACAAGCCTGACATAAGAGCACACAGGGACACTGCCTCTTCAGCAGGAGGAGCCAGGGTTTGTATTTTATTTATGTTTTTAAATCAACATGAAAATCATCAATGCTGTCAGGCACAATGTGAACCTTCAAATGGATCTGCAAGGTGGATTGGCTGAGCCAAGCTGATCACCTAGGCCCGCCGCCTAGCGGGTTGCCTTTGGTGATGAGAACACCCACTCTCTTGGGAACTTTCACGAATAAGACAGAGCTCTGTGAACTAGGCCCACGATGTCACACGTTAGCTCTCTTGAACATTTTTCCCCCAAAGGAACTTTATACCCTTTACCAGCATCTCACCAATATCCACACCCACCCCCAGCCCTTGGGTACCCTCTTTCTACCCCCTACCTGAGGAAGTCCAACTTTGAGATGTAAGTGACATCACGCTCTACTTCCCTTCTGTATCTGCTTTGCTTCATTTAGTGTAACATCTCCAAATTCATGCAGAATCTCCTCCTTTTTCAAGGCCAAATAGTATCCCATCATAAGGGCGCGCGTGCGTGTGTGTGTGTGTGTGTGTGTATTTTACATATTATTTATTAGAACATATAAAATAAATAATTTTTATCCATTTTTCCATTAACAGAAACTTGGGCTGTTTCTATATCTTGAATACTAAGAAGAATGCCTCAAGGATTCTGAGAAAGCAGACACACTTTGACATACTGATTCCAGCACCTTCAGATATATTTCCAGTAGTGGTTATGATTTTAGTAGTGGAATGGCTGGATCTCATGATAGCTCTATTTTCAGTTTTTTTTTGAGGCACTCCCCTGCTGTTTTCCATGATGGCTTCCTAATCTACATTCTCACCAACAGCGTGCAAGCATTCCCTTTCCTCCAAGGCATAACACTCTTTATCTTTCCTCTTTTGGATGATAGTCATCATAACAGGTGTGAAGTGATGTCTCATTGTCATTTTAACTCACATTTCTCTCATTCCAGTTATTTTGGACATTGTCTTAGTCTGTGCTATTATATCAAAATATCTGAGATTGGGTCATTGAGAAATTACAGACAGTGATGTCCCTCCATTCTGGAGTCTGGGATGTCCAAGATGGAGATGCTGTTGAGTGCTGAGCTAGTGGAAGCCCACTCCTCCTAGGTGATGCCATCCAAGCATCACAGGGTGCAAGGGCCAGAGAGGCAGAAGGACTGATCACTGGGTCAGCCTCTTACCTAACGATCTTGATCCATTCGTGGGTGAGGACTCTCAAGATCTAACCACATCTAAAGACCTCACCCCTTAATATTCTACTATTGGCAGTTAAATCTCAATGGATAACTCGTGGGACGTCCAGACCATTTCAGACATTCTTCCCACATTCCTCTTGGCCATTTGTGTATCTTTTGGTGAGAAATGTCCATGCAGATCCTTTGATTATTTATCACTCAGATTATTTGCTTTCTTATTATCGAGTTGTTTGGGTTCCTTCAGTATGGTGAATTTTAATCACTTATGAGGCATACGGTTTGGAAATATTTTCTCCCATTCATTAGATGTCACATCACTCTGTTATTTCCTTGGTGTGCAAAAACTTTTTAGTTTCATATAACACCATTTATCTATTTTTGGTGTCTGAGCTTCTGTATTTATTTCCAAGAAATCATTGCCCAGACCAATATTGTGAAGCCCCCCGCAACACACACATACCCAGCACCGTTTTCTTCTAGAACTTCTCACATTGTGTGGTCATGTCATTAACCTGTTTCCCCATTCCATGTTCTTGTCAACATTGTGAAAAACCAGCTCACTGTACATGTGTTGAAGGTATTTCTGGGATCTCTGTCCTTTCCGTTGGTCCAGGTGTCTGTGTTTATGCCGGATCACTGTAGTCACTGTGATCACCGGAGCTCTGTGGTGGATTTTGAGGAAGATAGTGGGAGCTTCCAGCTTTATCTTTTTTGTTCAAGAGTGCTTTCACTTTTCTGGCGACCCATGGTTATAAGCACATGTTAGGATTGTTCCTTTCTATTTCTGTGAACACTGTCATGAAATTTTGACAGTGATTTCATTGATTCTGTAGGTCACTTTGTGTTTCATGGAGATTAACAATGTTAATTCTTCTAATCCATAAGCATAAGATACCTTTCCATTTATTTGTGTCTTCAAAGTATTTTCTCAAAATTTTGTAGTTTTCAGTGGACATATCTTGTAAATGGGACTCTTTTCTTTATTTCTTTCTCAGTTTACTGTTAATGTACAAAAATTATTCTGATTATTGTAGGTTTATTTTATATATTGCAACTTTAGTGAAATCATTTATTATTTCTGACATTATTTTTTTGGTAGGGTCTTTGGATTTTCTATGCCTAAGACGTGTCACCTGCAAAGAAGGACAATTTTACTTCATCTTTTCAAATGTGCATGCCTTTTATTATCTTCTCTTGCCTGAATTCTCTGGGGATGGCTTCCTGTGTCATGCTGAATAGAAGTAATGAGTGTGAATATCCTTGTCTTATTATTGACCTTAGAGGAAAATCACGTCACTTTTCACCATTGAGTAATTTGCTCACTGTGGGTTTGTCAAATATGACTTTCACTGTTTTGAAGTACATTTCTTCTATACCTAATTTGTTGAGAATTTTACCACAGAAAATGTTCAATTTTGTCACTTGCTTCTTCTGCATTTACTGAGATGATGATAGATTTTTCGCCATTCATTCTGTTAATGTAGTTGGTTTGCATATGCTGAGCCATCCTTGCTTCCCTGGGATAAATCTCAATTGTGTTGAATGATTCTTTTAATGTGCTTATGAATTCAGTTTGCTGAATTCATAAATACTATTTTGTTCAGAATTTTTACATGTATGTTCATCAGCAAGCAATATTGGCCTATAATCATCCCCCTCCTCCTCCTCCTCCTCCTCCTCCTC